CTGTCTTTTCTAAAGAATTGGCTAATGATATTGAAAAGGGATTTTTTTCCCTTGTTTAAATAGAATGAAAAATACTGTTCTAACAAAATTTGTGGACTACCAATCAATGCCAAGCCAGAAAAGCAGCAACAGTAGAAACAGCCTTTACTTATTTCTACAGCATCACTTAATCCAGGGTGGAGTCTTGATTCCTGCCCCACCTGCAGCCTTGAGGAGCAGCCGGGTGCCTGTGGGCAGCTCAGGGGCTGCACCATGCCAGCAGGTCAGAGCTAGAGCCAGCTCCCTGCTCGGCCCTTCCTCCTCCTCCTCTGCCTCGCGGGCAGCAGCCGGGGACGTTACCTCTAGTCCAGGAGGTGGGAGCAATGTAACACTGCCCAAGTCAAGGGCTACCTCTGTACAAACATGCTCTCCTTAAAAAGTGATAGACTATTTTTTTTTCAACCCATTTAGTTAGTTCTTAGTCTTTATCCTTTACTTAAAAGTTTATGAAGCTTTAATAAGACTCTTGCACTTAAAAATGAAACTGTCAAGACACTAAGATATATTAAGGTGAGGCAGCTGTTAACCATATTAAGCTCAGTTCGAATGACACCAATTTCCACTTCCTTTTCTTTTTAATCTCTTAATAAATCTAGAAGGAAAAAAGGTAAGATTTATTGACTCACTTAATACAATGCGATGCACCGAGTATTTTTTTCCTGTTGTTTTCTTCTGGAACATCAATCTAATAAGAAAAAAAACACATTGATGCATCTATAATAAACTTCTTTTCTTAAAATAATCTATTTTCAACTATGTATCAGCTCTACTTGTGACATCCATTTGACACTACATAATCATTCATGCTCTGGTATATGACCATATTTGAGCCTTTTGGTTTTGTATGGCTGATTTTTCATTTTTCAATCTCCTGCAAACAAGCACTGTTTAATACTTCTATTATTAGCATTTTTTATATATTTCTACATCGCATGGTTGAGTAACAGAAAAGGGGACTGGATGCTACTACACAGCACCAAACTTTCAATTGATAATTGCTGTCTTATCTCCTAGCACAAAAATCTCAAATAGACAAAATTACTGTTTAGCTGTTAGGGGGTGGGGAGTCCAGCACTTGCCATCTGTACCCGAAACAAAAGCATCTCACTTCAGTATGGCTGTGGTGGCTGTACACAAAGAAAGGTCAGTCTGGAGAAAAACAAAGTAATTGTTTTCAACTCATTTGCAGCCAGGCACCATGTGCTCATTATAGAAACTGGAGCAAATCAATTAAAACAAAACCACTGTGCACACAGTGCCCAAAAGGCCTGTGTCGCCTGAGGACTGCAAGTGCATTTTTGCTCTGAGCTCAAGGGCAGCCTCTGCCACTTAGGTCAGGACCTGAGCCACAGGTCACTGCTCTGCCCCATAAGCTGCTGCCCATAAAACCAACAAGGATGAGTTGTTAGCTCCTAGGGAGGACTGCATGGGGCACACTGCCTTGCAGGAAATTCATCTTGCAACACTTGTGCCGGGTAAGCTCGGTGCGGTGGCGCTCTGCAAGTTCTAACAGCAATGCTAAGGGTGTTCAGACAGCAACCAGCCAAACAGTCAAAAACATCCTGTACCATCTAGAGACTTTGTATTGAGATTGGTTCTCTTAGAGGTTATAATTTACTCAGTAAACTAGCATAGGTACTCCTCTCCTTCCCTAATAGCTTTTCTAAATTTTGCTGAAACAAAAGACTTCTGAATTCAAAGGCAAATTACCCTTTAAGACTAAAGCAGAAGGTTGAAAAACATCTTCTCTTGTTTTTTGAAATTATACGTTTGTAACAATACTGAATTTGCTCCTCCCTCCCCCCAAATATTCATTCCATTGCTTTAACATAATGTTTTTACTGGCCATCAGGAAGAAGAACCTGTAAATTAAACTGGCTGTGTAGACGAGGCTAAGGGATTTAGCTAACAATCCTTTCTTGTGAAAGCGAGTTGGATATTGGTGCATTATTTCTAACCATGAGTCATTTATTTATTTATTTAAATTCGGTAGGTTTTCAACTGCTAAAATTCCTCTTCAATGACACCACTACAAGTTAAGCAGACACCCTATTTAACACTCAGTACTGATTACTAAATATTTAGTATTAAGGTAGCTGCAGTTCTCATCTCTTAAGAGACAGGTGGCAGCTTTGAGCAGCTTTCTGAGGCACTGCACAGCCCCTTTCAGAGTCCTTTCAGCTGGCCTCCAAACCAGCACCTGCCTCCTGCCTGCAGTTCAGAGCCAATGGGCCCGCTCCGCAAAGGCTCCTTGGGCTGCCGCAACCGCCTCGTTGCGCTGCGCCAACGCACCCCCTTCAAGAGGCCGGGCAGGACGCAGTTGTCTTGCTGAGCTTCGATTCTTACGTGCAGCCAGGAAAAAGCAGCTGCTCTGCAGGCCCAGAGAAACCACCCCAGGTAACAGAGGGAGTGGGGCATGCGCTAAGGGCTGTGATTCTCCCATGGGGATTGAAATTAACGGGAAAATAATATCCACACCAAAGCTTGAGCTGCCAACTCAAGCATCTTCCTAAAGCATGCAAACAAGTCAACACGTCTTCTGTGCTGCCAAAGAGAAAGAGTGAACGGCATAAAACACCCAGGAACAACAGCTAACCAACCGGAACCAGAAAAGAAATCAATGGGATCTTATATATCACCATATACAAAGCGTACATACAACTACTTTAACAAAGTTGGCAGGAAATATCCCTGTGAGATTCCCACATTTTCCTCTGTACCACTCAGCATCGATCTTCTCCAGAAGGCAAACGATGTCTCCAGACCGAAGCTCCAAGTCCTCAGCGTGTTCTGCAAGACAGCAGCAGTTCAGTGAAAGCAGCTCTCACAGGCACCGGTTCTTTTTCTAAATATTTTAATATAAACCCTAGACAAAAGCGAAACGAGTTTTTAAAAAGCCTTAAAAGCACATAGCCAAACAAGTGAATTTAACTAAAAGACCTGGCTCAACTATAGCTAAACCCATGGATTTGAACAACTCCACAAGCAGCACTTGCAGGCTGAGCTGCCTGATTATTTTAAAGCTGTGATTTCTAACCAAATTCCTATCTTGAAAGCTGTTGAGTAAAACAAGCTTCCAGAATATCCCCATGTACTTACCCGCAGGAAAATCGTGCAAGACTAGAGCATGTGGCCCGCTTGTGTTAGAAGCCTTTGGAGGAGTGTTTGAATCCTGTCAATGGCAAATAAATGCAAGAAGTTTATCAACCATGAAAGATATAAATACAGAATCCCTGTTACTTATTCTGAAAGTCATTTTTCTGATTTTTGACCATAATATTGTTATGATATCATAGCTTTGCAGGTGACAATTTGTCACAATCTGATCTGAAAATTAGTGCTTTACCAATGCAAAGCAGATAGGACTTTACTAAAGTCTATTTCTCATGCAGTAGAAAGGAGGGAGGGAGGTGTCACTGCCACTTTTGCTGGCGTAGGCAGAGCCCCTGCTATCTGGAGCGGTCTTGGCCACCCTCAGGGCCAGGGTTATGGCCCATTCTGCATGTGTCTGTGTGCTGCCTGCCGTATTTTTTTTTTCTTTCTCCTTTGAGAGAGCATCTCAGCTCAAATATCCCATAACACACAGAAGGGACAGCAGATCTTTCATCTGCCAAGTATTTTGGAGGTGAGGGCAAGCCACTAGGCCTTTGCTTGCAGGAACATAACACTGAGGCTAAATGATGAGTTTGTGGTGAGAGTTTTGTAAAGAGAAAATACATTATGAATGCTGAGCCTTCACCTCCGTCTCACCCTCTAGATTCCAGTCTGGCACTCCAGAATCACTGTCTCTCTGTTCTATAAGCAGATTGTCCCCACATTTTAAGGTGCTTCATTTTTTTTTTTTTTTTTGGGGGGAGGGTGGTAGTAGTTTTGTTTCTATTGAAGATTTAATAAACCACTACTGTATTTTTCAGTGTAACCCTCTAAAGGTTATGTTAAAGCACTCAATGCCAGGAATTTTAACGATTAAATACATGTCAGCAGAGAAAAATGTGCCTTACCTTACAGGACAGTTCTCCGGGGTTCCTGGGAAGAAAGTTTTCCTTGGCAGCTCCATGAGGCACAGGTAGCTTGAACAGAAATTGGGGGGAAGAGAATAGTTTGTTTCATTTTTAAGCACCTGCCATTTCTACTATATGTGAAAATATTCTCATAATGGAACTATTCAGACCATGTATTACAGGTGACCAGTTTATAAGCTTGGCAGAAGAAGACAGGGGCCTTTGGAAAGCATTCAGCAGTATAAACTGCCCTCAGGAGAAACATTCCTGTTTTGCATTCAGCTTTAAAGTGCCTGAGTCCCCTAAGTTACACCATGTCACATGGGACCGCTGTTTGGCCATGCACTGTAGTACTCTTCTGTCAAGGAGAGCTCCGAAGAAACTGCCTGGGAAGACAATTTCATGGCACAATAGGTACGATCGGGGAATTACTAGTGAACTCCTAGAATTACTATTGAATTACTAGAAAAAAATAATCTCGCCTACAAAATATATCAAATGTTTCTTACATAAAGAAGAAGCAGCACACCAGGTAGGAATCAACTTTTTCCTCATCTCAGAGCTGTCTCTGCCCTGCTCACACCAAGATGCAACTTTCTCCCTCATACTCCTCCTCTGCACCAGAGGGCAGAAGTGCAGGTCACAGAGAAGGCACCAGAAGGCCTCCTCTTCTGCCTGAAAGTTCTTTCCAGGCTACAGTTGCATGTTGGCCTCTTTGGCAATAGCACCAGTTCAAGCAGTTCCCAGCTGTGCTCACCAACCAGTTCTAAGCATCTAGAGGGAAACTCCTTTTCATCACTGATATCCTGCCATTATTCCCTATCCTCACAGGCAATACCAAAACATATACTTCTGAATGAAAAGGCACGGCGTCGATAGGATGAAAATCTAGGAGGGAAAAGCTCAGTCTCTGGGCTGGTGTAAGGTAAGCGATGCTACATTCCTCCCTCCTGGCAGATTTGATTAAGAAAGTTAAACTACTTTATAAGTTCTTATGCTCCTCCCATTTTGTTTAGCATTTTGACATATACAGGGTAAAGTGACATTCAAACACAACGTTTGGCATCATTTTTATATACTCTAATAAAAGTTAGAAGTGATGACTGTAAAGAAAACCCCAATAAAACAAAACCCATCCATAAAGGCCTAAAGCAGAACCTCTGATTGTCACAGATTCAGAAAACATGGAATCAAAACAAAGAGTTTGTTTCCATTTTTATAGACTTTTAGCCATTCCTAACACCACCATGAAAAGCCACAGGATAGAGTTGAACAGAGTTAGTTTTTTTTGTTTTTAGTACACATACACACACGTATATAAATACAGAGCATTTATCAAGTGCTTTCTCCTTTGTTACTTTCCATTGCATAATACTATGTATTCGCATTTTCTAAGGAAGATTTTGCTGATAGATTGTGACAGCCATATCACAGTAGTCCACCTTTGCATTTCTTTTCTTTACTACTATTTTCATGAGTTTTTTTTTTTTTTTTTTTTTTTAATACCAGTGTCAGACAGAGTATCTCAACTCACCATGTATTTATTATAGAGAGGATGACCCGGCTTAGGCCTAGGAGGTAATGCTGGATCTTGATTTTTTAAGACTTGGCTCTTTGCTCTCTTGGGTCCCATTCTGAACTTGCTGTTTCTTTTATCGCAAGCCATGTCGGAAGTGGAGCGGGAAAGAGGGTCCTTTCGGGAAGGGGTCCTGGCTGCAGAGAGCTTTGGTGGAGGTGGCCTTCCAGGAGCACCTTTCGGTGGAGGAGGTCGGGCTGGTATAATCTTTCCATCCACAGGCCTAAAACCATCAAAGAAATACATGTTAGCAAGTTGGCCTCCTTATCCTCCACCACAGCCTTAGCCATGGAGCATGCAACTATGGACAGGATCTGGACTGTATGACAGGTAGTATGTACAGTTCTCCAGGGATACACAAACCCTTCAGATAGTGGCACTCACTGATCAAATCCTTAGATAGTTTTACTACATGTTTTCAAGTCTGCTCACCACTTCTGCTAGTCAACCGTCTACTAGCTTTTGCGAGACCCCAGTATGCACTGCATATGTAAAACCAAACATGTGAACAAATACTTACAACTGCTAGGCTAAGTTTTGTAGCTGAAATAAGGTTCTCTTGTCCTGACAGTATGAACGAAGTAAATTGTGTGTTTCAGCCCACAGATTCAGTGTGTAGACGACAATTGAGCCGTATTGGCTGGCCCAGTCTCTGCCCTTTTTGGGGAGGTACCATCTGCCACCTCTGCTCCTTCACCACTCAGCACGAGCTGCTGATGGAAAGGTCAGCAACACGCAGGAGGAGATGGTCCACGTCCAGCCACAGGTGAAGAGGTTAAAGATGCAGAAAGGAATGACTGTCAGCAGCCACTATGCCCGAGCTGAAGAGCCAAACAGCTGTCCTAGGATGTCCCTGCTCACGCTGACACAGTACAGAGCAGATGATAGCTACATGGTCCTGCCTATTTAATACTGTGTTCAAGTGAGTCTACAAAGAGTCTAACTGAACAAACTAACACAGAAACACACGAAACGGCTGAAAAATTCTGCTCACCTTGGGGGAAGCGCAGGCTCTAGGTGAGGTGTTCCAGCCTGTTCTGAATGATCTGACTCCTACAGGGGTTAAAAAGAAAAAAAAGCAAAGGCATTAGAAACAACAACAACAAAAAAAAAGGATCTCATTTGAATGATGCATTTCATGTTTTAAATTATATTCTATAGACAAGGAAAATGAGTTTCTGGGTCTCTGAGAACACAGTAAAAAACGTTCATTCTAGTGTTTTAAAGTCTTGCTGGACATGGAGAGAAATGCAAATAACCTGGCTGTGTACCGGAATCACAGCTTAAATTGTACATTAGGTATGGGCCAGCCCTCTTTTCCTACTACATTACAATCAGGGCCTAAAAGACAAACTGAGGTCAGACACAAAAACTGTACAATTTCATTACCTGTAAGATGCCAGTTTGGTTGCACATACATCCACAATTTTGATTTAACATTGACAGATGAAGCACTTAGCTCTGATCAGGCTTAGAACAGAAAACATGACATTGATACAACTCTTAAAGGTGAGAATTTATTGCAAATAACGTACTTCAAGAAGGCAGCTCAGTGTGTTTCCTGAGAAGTCAACGGGTAAGTCCTGGGGAATCTTGCTCTGAGAGATTAAGGAGGCACTGTTCCCAGCTGCCCATCCTGCCCCTGTCAGAGATCCCTGTCTCACAGCAGAGGCAGTGCAAGGGAACATGTCCCATGTCTGAAGGGCTCGCATGGCACTAATGGATTAACTGGGTTACCATCCTCTGCCTCCTGCCATTCATTGTCATCCCAGTGCCAGGGAGTGCTGCCAGCTCAGCTGAACCACTGCAACTGTTTGGAGGGCAGCTTAGTAAATCAGATTGCTTAATTTCAGTTCAAAAATAACATTTTAAAAGGTCTGAAAAGTTGCATTTACTTAATTGGGGATACATGTGTTTGAAATTGGTAATTTATTTCCTTTTTGTGTGCCTAGACAATATCTGAACACATATAGTGGCAAAATTTTGACCCTTGTCTAAGTCCCCAAATGAATATTCTTGATTATTAAAAAGTACAACCTGCTACTTTCAGACTGGGATATTATCTTAATACCTAAAATTTTCCTCCTCTCTGTGAAAAGGAACAACCATGTGCTAACCAAAGCATGTGTTAAATGGCTTTTATTTTTGCTGCTTAATCACTTCCATGGCCAAATGCTCCTAGTTTTGAAAGTGATGGTTTGTGTAATGCTTTATTTTGAATTCATTCTCAGTGCTCACCACTTAACAAAGGAAATAGGTTGAAGTAATCATATGAGTTTATATTTAGTGGTGGAAACTCAAAATTTGTAAGAGGTTGTTGAAAGATTAGTGCATAAGGCCCCTGCACTAAAGGCTACTGAAGGACTTAAGAGCAAAAAGAAGTTTGCAAGTTCTTTGCAAAGATAGGATTTAAATGTTTCACTGGATCTGATATAGTCCTTTCTAAGAAGGAAAAATGACATCCTCTGAAGCTTACACAAGAGCTTCCACATGTTTTTCAGAACAACCTGCATGATCACACACTGTAGATATTTCTGGCTTTTATTGTATTATATAATATTTTCTTTAGCATCTTATATCTGGGAGTTATTTCTTCAGCATTACTGAGAAGAGTTGAGACCTCTATGAAAAGTCTCTTCAACCACCATGTTTAAAAAATACTTTATGCTCTTAGCAAAGACAGTCATAAAGATATTTGTTGGCAGCTGTCCACCCAGTTAGGGCTTTCAGATTGATTTGATCTTGTTACTGCCTACGGTTTCCCCAAGAATCTCTGCCACTCTTGCCCTCACAGCTCCCTATATTTGGAAATTCACTTGGCAATGTCATGTTCCAGTTTATTTAGCAAATCTGTGTCAAAGGGCTTGCAGGATGCAGAGCTAAAACTTGCTATTTGTACAGGAGCGAGGAGCAGAGCCCACCTTTCTGAAGCAGACAGCCTCTGACCAAACCAGTAGAAAGCAACTGGGAGAGAAGAGCTCAGAAAAGCTGGCTTCGCTCCCCTTTCTATTTACAGAAGCATTTTCTTTTGACCTGAGATTAGCAGAGATACAGAGAGATGCCTTCTGTGTAAAGGTAAAAAAGTGTCTAAAGGACTTCGACAGTTTTTGACTATGTAAATCCTAGACTTTGAACTCACTCTGCAGAGTTTGGGGAATTAAGCAGTAGAATGCAATGGATCCAGCCACAAAGTACAGAAAACTCAAGATAGATGCGATCAAAGTTTAGTTAAATCAATAAAGTGTTTTTTTCAGAACTGAAAGCAGTCTAAACTATCTGATTAAATTAGAGCATGCAATTAAAAGAAGAAAGCCTTATATTTTTAAGTAGCTCCTTTCATCCTTTGGTCCTTCAAGTAACTTACTTTATAAAGGAGTGAGAGTCACAGGAGATCTGTTAAGCAAAGCAGACATAAGTTTTAACACAGGAAAACAGTTCTAACTTACCACTTTTTTTACATGATCGCCATTGCTGCA